CCATGAGTACCGTTATTTCTTACCAATTCACCGACATATGACATTTTATCGACTATTTGACATTTGTGGCATTTGTCTATGATTTTCTTATGACAACTGTAAAACATTATGTATGCACCGATACGTTGAAATAATTTTTTATTATACAATGATATAAAATTAATAAAATGCTATTACGAAACGTGACGTTGCATTTAAAATTTTAAAGTCTACAATTTTCGTCATGAAAATAAATATAAATGTAATAAAGGATATAATATGGTGTTGTTAACTTATACTAATATACTGGTGGAAACTGGAAACCTGGAAACCAAGTGCGGTACGCATGAACGTGAGGGCGTATGATGTAAGGAAGTCATAACCTACACGCGCCTGCCTCTTTATCAGACTTATGAGTCGACGACACCATTAATGACCTAACAACACGTCCAAAAGTTCTCTCTTTAAACAATGAGAATTGAGAAGTTGAAAACAAACCTCGAACCAATTTCAGCCACACAAGAAGACTTATGTTATTTGTTGACGTTAATGAATCTTATCTTATTTTATGGTTTATTATTATTTCCGTTAATCATTTCTTTCGTAAAATAAAAGCATGTCTGTCTTTGTTTTTATAACCTTTGATTTTAGGATTTCGGTTTACGAAATCTGTTTCGATTTCTCATTTTCTTGATAAGCGTGTCAAAATTCTACCAATCCAAGAATTTTGTTTTCTATATATACACTTTGGTATTGTGAAAGAGAGACTCACAAGTAGCCTTCTAAATGATGCACTAAGAAACTGATATTAGTGAGTGAGTATCTCCAACCATACTCCATAATTTACTGCAAAATAGAGTGGAAAATGGAGTGATAAAGAAACAAAAAAGTAATTACTCCAATGGAGTAATGAGATTTTTGTTTCTTCATTACTCCATTCTCCACTCCATTTTACAGTAAAATATGGAGTGGGGTTGGAGATGCTCTAAGAAACTGATTTATACTATTATTAATTAATTGATTTTTTTGCGTTTCAAGTTTGAAGTAGAGAGTTAAAGTCAATTATACCTTTAATGAATAATTATATTTATTTATATTTTATATAATTAGAATTAATCATAAATTAATTATAATAAAATTGCTAAAAAGATGAAAACTAGTTATTCTAAGTTTTTTCTTCTTCTGAATCTTTGAATAATAGTGGGGCACACATAAAACTTACGGTTTACTCATTACACATGAGTTGTTACACTTCTTGAAACAATTTGGTGCTGTTAAAAATTGTACCATGGCGGTTAAAACAGACATGAGCAAGGCTTATGATCATCTGGAATGGTCCTTTATCCACAAGGTTATTTTGCGTATGGGTTTTGCAGTTGCATGGACAGAGCTCATCGTTCAATGCTGCACTACGGTCTCCTATTCCTTTTTGTTAAATGATTCAGCACATGGAAAAGTGATACCAACAAGAGGGATAAGGCAAGGAGACCCTCTTTCATTGTATATTTTTAATACTCTATAGTGAGGTGTTATCAGGCCTTTGCCTACAAGCTTAAAAGAGTGGACACCTCGCAGGGATTCGGGCAGTGCGGCGATGCCCTAGGGTTAATCACCTCGTTTTCGCAGACGATACCATGTTCTTCCTCGAGACAGACCCAGATAGTTGTTCGGATCTGATGACCATTCTCCGCAGCTACGAAAAAGCATCGGGCCAAATGATAAATACCAGTAAATTATCCATCACTTTTGCGACTAAAACGCCCCAGGAGACACGATCTCGTTTCAAATCTCACTTTGGGATTGTCAAAGAAGACGGTACTGGTAAATATCTTGGACTTCTCAAAAACTTTGGTCGGAGGAAAAAAGATATGTTCACTTCTACAGTTGATCGAATCCGGGTTAAAGCCAACAACTGTTCTACTCGATTACTCTCCCCGGCAGGAAAACTGGTTATGCTTAAATTTGTCATATCGTCCATACCCACACATGCAAGTTCTTGTTTTCAGCTCCCGTTAAGTCTCTGCAAGAAGATTCAGTCAGCATTTACCAGGTTCTGGCGGGATTTTGCTGACCATAAGAATATTTGTGGGGTAGCCTGGAATAAATTAACACTGCCAAAACTCATGGGTGGTTTGGGGATAAGAGATATTCAGTTGTTCAACATCGCTCTACTGGCCAAGCAAGCCTGGCGAATTGCTACTGCCCCGGAGTGCTTGTTATCACACATACTCATCGGAAAATAGTGTCAGAATAACGGTTTCTCGGAAGTTTTGCCATCATCCAATTCTTCCCATGGGTGGAGGAGCATCTTGTTGGGTCGCGACTTGCTAGTTACTTAATTAGGAAGAGCTATAGGGGATGGAAATCCAACTCGTGTTTGGCAGGAGATATAGGAACCCCGTCTGGACCCCCGAAATAAATTGACTGTGATCTCATGGTAGCAGACCAATTGACGAGAGGAACAAATGATTGGAATATTACAAAAATTAATGCCCTTTTCCCTCTAATAGCGAAGGAGATTACCAGCATTATCCCTAGTAGGTTGGCAGCTTCTGATGGTATTTGATACCTAACAAAGATGGTATTTATACTCTAGTTTTCAATTCTTCTTTGATACTAACAAAGATGGTATTTATACTACAAAGTCAGGATATGCTATAACAGCCAAGAGCATGGTAATTCTAGACAATAGTAATGTGCTGTTACTCGAATTGGATTGGACTAAGAAGACCTGGTCTTTTCCGTGTCTCCCAAAGATCAAACTATTCTTGTAGAAATTATTCCAATGAGCTTTGCCACTCAGAGTAAACTTAGAAAAAGGAGGCTGCGGACCCTCTGTCAACTGTCCAAGGTGGGGATAGCAAGAAACATCAGAACATTTAGTGCTATCATGCTATTTTGTGAAACAGGTGTGGGCTGAAGCTCCTCTCCATAAATATTTTTTCTCCTGGTCAATACAACTCCTGGAGTGAAGCTTTAATCTCGGGACTGAGAGCTTATAACCTCCCGCCTACTGAAGTAGCATCACTAGTGTTCCCTTGGATTTGTTGGTTTTATGGACAGCTAGAAATATTTTGATCTTTGAGAAACAGACACTTTCCCCTTCTGAAGTGCTGACTATTTCCATCAAAAGCGCACGAGAATGGAGCTTGGTCCAACCCTCATCACCGAGGATAATCCCATTTGTACATTCTATTACCTCATCCCATCACTGAGCCGAAAATTGTGTTATAGTGTTTACTGATGCAGCATGGCGAGCTTCTGAAGGGGCAACTGGTTGCGGTTAGATCTTTCAAGACCCATGTCGTCTGACTACTTAGCATAGATCAAAGTGCTCCGACCACATTCCTTCTGCTATGATTGGAGAAGCCTTAGCAGTTCATCTGGCTCTCTCTCACGTCCTAGAGTTAGGTTTCAACAAAGTCTGCATATTTTCAGACTATCAATTGCTTGTTAGAGCAATCCTTACAAAGTCACCACCGGTCAAACTCTACAGAATAGCCTGAGACATCGAAGTCCTATCCTCTTTGTTAAATTGTTGTTCTTTCTCATTTATTTCTCGATCTTAAAATTTTGAGGCAGGCTTACTGGCTAAATCGACGTTATGTAATGTTGAACATCCCACATGATAATCTTCTTGTGATGCTAGTTTTAATATAAGTGTTTTGTGTTAAAAAAAAAAGACTAATACTATGTGTATTACAAAGAGAAAAGAAAACAACATGTGATTTTCTTCTTTAGCAGTGGGGAAAAGAACAACAGAATAAGTATGTTAATCTATACTTCATATTGATTATAAATTAATTATAATAAAATCTGGCCAAAGGACGTTTAAAGGTTAGTTGGCTAAACCCTAATCATATTCATTATCATGAATAATTACGTTTATCAATTATCATTAATAATAAATCTATTATAATAAATAAATTATTATTACTTATTTTCAAAAAGAATTACAACTTACTTATGAAATCATAAGATAAGTTTGTATACATATTCATTGAATAAACCAATAAAATTTATCATTATTTCAAACGTATTTCTTTCAGTTTTCCATTTTAGTTTTTCTTTTTAAGTTGATCATAATTATTTTATTTATTTTTAAGTTATTTTGTTCTTATACTTATCTTTGTGTTTTCGGACCTTATTTAAAATTTTATACATATTGTTAGTTTAAATAGATAAAAAAAAATTAAAAGAGACGTACGATAATTCACATTTTATTTTATTTCAAATTTTAGAATGTTTCATATGTGGTTATATTTTCATGATTTTTTAAATTTCCTTAGTATTTATTATGTATTTAATAATATATCCTTTTAAAAAATTATGCATGTCTGTGCGGATAAAACATCTAATATTATTGATAAAAATACGAAATAACTTTTTGTTAGATATATGGCATATTAAAACAGTTTGTCTACGGTTAATGATAAGTAGAAAATTTCTTCCCAACATATTTAATAATTTCAAACTTTGGGAGTAGTAGTTGTACTATCTTTAAATTATAGTTTTTGCTACAGTTTTCTTAAATAAAGTGCTACCAATATACTAATCTCCATTCTAATTTAATGTATACAATACAATACATAAGAACATTATCATTAAGGATTTTCAAATTTAAATATCTTAAAAATATGAAAATTATATATCTCTTTGAGAAAGAAATACCATATATATGTTGAGATACCTATCCACAAACAATATAATCTTATTAAAAGTATTGTGATAGATATCTTAACATTTGAAAGAGTCATTAAATTACATACTATATATTTACTTATATCCACAGTTGAAAATTTCTTCAATGAAATTGCTAAAAGAATGATCATGATAAGATTAGCATATTATAATAGTATAACATCGACAGGAAAATACTAATAAATATCAGTGTACAAGAATCACGCCTGTATTAGTAGTCTGATTATTTTTCTTTGGTCGGCTTTGATTTGAATACTAAAAAGACACTTACTTCTATGTAAAACTATCTTATTTGGGAAAACATTGTAGATGACAAATTAAAAAGAGTAAAGCATAGAGAATCCCTTACTTCGCTTCTTTCCCAAGCAAACCACAAACACCTCTCTCAACATTCATCTTCCTCCTCCTCCTCAAGCAAAGTCATCACTTCACCAAAATGTCAAATTCAAGTCACCGGAGAAGAGTTCCGACTCCGGTCGGAAACGGAGGCCGGAGCATCAGGTTGAGACGGACGGCTTCCCGTTGCGGTTTTGATAAGATCCGTTCAAAATCGACTAATCATGTTTTTGAGAGAAGCTTATCCGATTCGAGTCTCAATCGCCGCCGCGACGGAGATGGTAGTTGCATGCGGCGATCATCGCCGTTGAGTGGCTTACTGACGGAAGATTCTGGTCCGATCGTCTACTTGCCAAGGATTCGCTCTGAGGTTATGGCTTCTTCTCCGTCGTTGTTGGGCTTATCTTCCCTAACGTCTCCATTTCCGACCAATCAAGAGGTTAGCCTCTGTTTCACTCAACTATTTCAGTTCTTTACTACTTTCAGACACGACTTCAGTTCTGTAATAAATTCTACATATTGTCCGTCCTCATGGTATAAACTTTTATTATTTAAGTCTAATAGTTTATAATGTTACAAATTAACCCGTAACTCTCTACTATTTTAGATGTAAAGTTTAATAAACTGTAAACCCTATAAGAGCCATTTTGATCTCCCGAGTAAATCCCAAGATCATAGAGTCTTCTTTAATTTAATTCGAAACAACAAAATCAGGAAAATAAAAGAGAAGCAACAAAAGTTGTAATCAACGTAGCAGTTGAAGGAAGCCCTGGACCTGTAAGAACCATGGTCAAATTGAGTTGCAACGTCGAAGAAACGATCAAACTAGTCGTAGAGAAGTATTGTGAAGAAGGACGAACACCCAAACTCGATAAAGGTGCTGCCTATGAGTTGCATCAATCTCATTTCAGCATCCAGTGTAAGCTATAACACAACTTGTAGTGTACCACAAACACTATCCAAAATTTATTTCTTCTTTTCTCCTAGATAAATAAATTTTGATTCACCATTGGTTGAAGATATATAATCTAATGTTTATTAGTTTTATAAAATATCTATACTATTCTTTACTTGTATCTAGTTTTGCTTTAGTCTCCAATAATCATGGAAAAATACTCAAAGTACTCGTGGATGATGTGAAAGAAAGAAAGAAAAATCACATTATTCATGAGCTATATGCTTATAGTAAGAAAAGGTTTTAGCTGACATTATTCCTTCCACATAATTGAACTTTGTTATGAATTTAATAAAACGTACTTAATTTGATATATGTTTTTTTTTTTGTAAAAATGTCAGTATGACCTGTCGAACTTGAGACTTAAAAGGTTAAAAACCAATATAAATTTTTGACAATTAAAAACCAATACAATTACCACCAAGCAACATAAGTTTTATTAATTTGATATATGTAATTTCCAGGTTTGGAGAAAAGAGAAATAATCGGAGAAATAGGAAGTAGAAGCTTCTACCTTAGAAAGGGAGCTAATGAAACCGGAGTTTCTTTCGCCGGAATTTCTCCAGCGAGAACGAGCTTTATTCCGTCGTCTCATATCATCGAATCGTGTATCGCTCAGATTATTGGGAAAATCTTGAGGAGAACGAGAAAGTTATGGAACATATTGGTATGTACACAATGAAATTTAACCAAAGTATACTTTTGAGCGTGGCACATAATATTTAGCTTGTGTTCCTCCAGTCTCATTGAATAAGGGCAGTTTATATATATTATTTATCAAAGTTGTACTATATACTATAGATTGCTATACATTTTTTTTAATTAGACTTATGTTATAAAGTACACAACCCGAAACGGATACCGGAACAGGCCTCCAGCTAACCGTTGGAGAAACAGTAGTCTTCAATAATAGATTGGACTTATCACTGAGTACATGGAAAATTAAGAAAAAAAAGTACTGGGTGGAAAAATATCTAGGCTCAAAGGACTGTAGTATCCTCACTGTAGATCCGCGACCAACGACGCCAGCTTGACCGAGGACAAGCCGACCACTCCATCTTCACTTTCTTTCCAAAAGAGGCGCCGACACACAGAATTGAAGATCACCTGACATTCCAATCTTCAGCCCAACTTACCAAAACCCGGGAGTTGAGATATACCACACCGTTGAGGGGAACCGCCATCCTCAACTGGCCCATCTCACTCACCTAATCTCTAGTCATGGAGAATCACAGAGGCCAGCTCCAAACTAATTTTGATAGTTTTTTGATATTTTAAAATTTCATAAGATTACAAAAAACTATCAAAATAATAAATGTGGTATAATTGTGTTTTAAATGTGTGCTTTTCATAAAAGATGCTAGATAATCAAACAAGAAATGTAGATAAAATCATAATTGCAACTATAAAATTATAAAAGGACTTAAAATTAGAAATTTATAAGTTTCTAATTTTAAGTCCTTTTATAATTTTATAGTTGCAATTATGATAAAATCATAATTGCAACATCGACAATGGTAATAAGATAAATATGGTAATAACTATATTTTTATATTTTAGTATTTTAATTATTTTGTGAAAACATTACAACACATGTATCCATGTTTATTATAATAACAGAATTATTAGTTTACTTTATTCAGTTGTTTTGCTTGAATTGCTTGAATGCTAATACTGTTCATAAATATTTTATTTTTTCTCATTTGACCAGTGCGAAGCACAGAAGTTAATACTAGTCATAATATTCTATACAAAGAAAGAAAACCAGAAAAGGAAAAAAGTTTATCTGATGATTATGTACGAAGTATGATGTTGTTTCTCATTCGGCCACCAACCAACGTCTCAGAGTGCTTTCTACCTTGTGGTCTGATTTGTATGATTGTATCCAAGCCATGGATGAGAGATTCTCGTCTTTCGGTACATTCTTAACAAATGTAAAAACAATCCTAATGGAGAGGTTTAGTTTCAGGATTCTCAAAATACATATATATATATATATATATATATACTAATATTATTCTTTTCTTTTTTTAAAAAGTATAGATTTAGAGTTTTGATGTTGAATTTATTAACTTTATATATTTTTCTATTTTTTATTGGGTAAAATGTGGTCAAGTGTATAGGTAACTGTGTTTTTATTTTGAAAATATGTAAAATTAAATCAATACTATTAAAACAGGATCATTCCGTTTAATGAATGATTTATGTTTTCCTAAATTAATCTTAATCTTATGAATAAATTTAAATTTTCATTAATTGTATTTTAGTCTTTTTTATTTGGGCCTAAAACCTATATAGTATTGGATTTTATTAATGGGCTGATTCTTTTTCAAAATTTTTAAAACAATTCTTGTAAAAATATATATTTTCTTTGCGGGTCAGGCAGGTCAAATTTTTCCGTTGAAAAAATGATCCAACCAGCTACGGAGCGGGTTGGACGGGGTAGATCGGACTGAGCGATTGAAATTTTGTAACTAAATTATTTTACGAATTAATCACAAAACTAAAAAAAAATTGAGTCATTTAATTGTTAAATATACACTCTTTCTCAAGTACATATTTCAGATATAACCATTGTTAACTTATTTAAACATAAAAAATTATCTGAGACATTATAAAACAAAAATTTCTTATACCCGCATAATAACTTGATCTTGATTATGTGACATTTTATATCATCAAAGCAAAAGACTTATCGATCCATCTATAGATGAAGTAACAAAAATAGTACCCGCGCTTTTTAAGCGCGGGTCAAAAATCTAGTGTTTTCTTAATATTTGTGCAAAAACCTAAAACGACAAGTAAAATGAAAGGGAGAGAGTAATATTTAATTATAAGATTCTTAACTTTCTGGAAAATCCAACCAAACAATTATGTGCAAAAATGTTTTGGGTTGTAAAGTATAATCTCTTAAAATTAATATTCTATAAATTAATATACACTGAAAACCTCTATAAAATAATATAATGTTATAGTCCCAAATTGAATTTTTGGTTCAATAAGTATATCTATAAATTAATAATCTCTATAAACTAATAAAAATTTATAATATTGGTATAGTCCCAACATTATTAATTTATAGATGTTTCAATGTATTTCCCGTAAAATTAAGAGTCTCACAATTAAATATTAATATTAATATATAATACACATATATATAGTTTGAGAACCCCGAAGCAAAAATCCTACATTGGAGGTGCTCTAATATCTCAGTTATCTACTTTAACTGTTTCAAATATTTGGAAAGTTAGATATCAACATTTTATCATCTAAAAGGTTAGGCCTGAGATTAGTTCTTTAAAGCTAGATGTTATAATTAAGAACTTCGTAGAATGCAATTTTTTAACAACTATTTATTTATATAAATTATCCAAATACATACAAATTAGCATAAAGTAATATAACTAAAATAATATAAAGACAATATAATAAAAGAACAAAATATAGAAAATGTTTTCCCCGAAAGGACTTCCAAATTTATAGAAAATCAACAATGTTAATCTTCTTGCAATCTTCAAGATTATGTCACATTAGAGGGGAAATTTTCATTTTTACACTTTCTTTGGTACTACTATTCAACTTTACCATCAATTAAATGACATTTTCAGAAATACCTAATTCATTAATGTGTAAAAGACTAAAATAACCTTTTCTTATCTTCAATCTATCAACACCTCTTCTCAGCCATCTTCTCTCGTGGAGATGCGTCGCCGTATTCATGAGCTTCGCTGTGTCTGTCTTTAACGAGTTCGTCGTCTTCTTCATTCGGTTTCGTCTTCATCAAACCTGTCGTTGCTGTATTAATGAGCTTCACCGTGTCTGTATTTAACGAGCTCGTCGTTTTCTTCATCAAGCTCCGGCTTCGACTTCATTGAGCCCCGCCGTCGCCGTATTCATCATTTTTACTCTGTTTGTCTTTAACGAGTTTGTGTCTTAGTATCAATTGCTCTTTCTACAATGAATTATGAAAGTAAGGATTTTCAAATTAGCTTCTCTCTCTCTTCCATATATGTTGATTTAGGTTTTTTTTTTGCTGATTAGTGACATTGATGTCTGTCTTTGTTCCTTACAATTTCCGGAGAAGTTTCCTGTGAGTCAGTTATTTCAATGAAGTTAAGATTGTTCTTCGAGAGGCGACAGAATGAGAGTCATATGGAGAGTGATTGAGTCATATATATTTGTAAAGCTTGAATCATTCTTGTTTAAGATTCATATTTTGTTTACATTCATAGTTTTTGGGTGTTCTCAATTTCAGTCTCTGCAAATGTACAAGCTTGAAAACCAAGTACGATGAAAAGAATATCACAAAAAATGATGAGGAAGCTGTTGGAAAGCTTATGGAAGAGAAGGAAAGTAAAGGTGCTGGAAACTTTACTCTCTTGATGGATAATACCAACCAGAGAGTTCCTCTTGTCTTCTCCTTCCTTCAGACGTACCCAATCTCTAGAAGCTAAGCCGTTAGTTACCCGTTCAAGAACTGATACGTGAACCCTTAACGGATCATGAATACCATGGAATTTAACCAGAGCATATTCATCTGGATCGGTTTCACGTTCTAAACCAACCACTATTCCTTCTGGCACATCCATGTTCTCAAGCTTAAAAGAATTGGTAGGCTTTCTTGAACGCACTGTGTCTCCCACTCTGAGATGATCCTTTGAAAGAAACCATTCTGTATAACCGAGAGTAGCCGAGCTCTTCCTGATTTCTCTACTATCAATGCCTCTCCACACCGTAAGCTGCACAATTTGTTCCAGTTACTATACACACTTTTGCACTGATCTTATTCAAACAGAATATACAATGATGGCAAGGGGCGATTTACCTCTTCAAGACGTGTAAGATGTCATTCATAGATGGTCTGCTTCGAAGATCATACATAAAGCAACCCCGAAGTAAGTTCTCCAGAGGTGGTGGTATGCCATTCGGGATACTAAGCTTTTCTTGCTTTCTGACCACTAAGTCGTATATCTCATCGGCGGATTTGCCAGACCAAGGTTGTACACCAGTCAGAATTTCCACAATGCTGCATCCAAATCCCCAAGAATCAGTCTTAAAGGACATGGGACCTCTGACTTCCGGTTGCCACTGTTCTGGAGCCATGTAGTTTGGAGTTCCAAGCCTCATTGTCATATCAGAACTTGGCAAAGGGATACTTAGAAGGAGATAAGGGACTCCAACATCCCCGAGGATGGCCTTGTCGTTATCACTGAGAAGAAAGTTAGGGGTTTGATATTGAGAATCAGAAACCCTTTCGAGTGCAGCTCCAGGAGATACATTACTTACCAATAAAAATAAGGAGCAGATGAATCTTGGGGCTTGTGCACGGGTGTTGATTCTTGAGGTCTGGCTGTTGTCATATGCGGTTTTGGTATATTGTTGGCAACTGAGTTAGGTGCTGTCAAACCATATCCACTTTGACTGGAAGAAATTTGAGAATTCAAATGCCCGGAGGGCGCAACAGATGGCATTGGTTGGCATTTGATTGCTCCTGCATATGTTCAGTTAGTATAAACAAGTGTGAAAGTTCATTCCATGTGTATATATTATCACTTTGAATTTTTGAAATTAAACACAAAATCCCTTACATCATGTTTTCTAAACCTTCAACCAGATTTTGTATTACTGTCTCTATAAGGATTTAAAAAATCATATAGATCAATATTCTTTATATTTGTATCTATAAGAGCTTATAAATATATTTTAAAAGCTTATGTAAGATTTTTATAAAGGGTTTATAAAACAATTTATATGGATTTGCAATACTATTTAAAAAATTAAATGCATCATGAATATGTGTAATTTATAAATCATTTATATATCTTTATAAACCATTATAAATCATTTTATAAACCCTTATAAATAAGTTATAAATTTTTATAACAATTTTTTTAAGCCTTAAAAAAATTGGTTTATAATCATGGTTTAAGTATTTTATAAACCTTTATAAATTAGTTTATAATTTCTTATAAATAAAAGCCAATTTAGTAATATTAATAAATCAACTTATACACCCTATAATTAGTTTTTAAACTTTTTTAAATCAGTTTATAAACTCTAATGAATCAAACTTATAGACTATTATAAATAATAAATTTCATAAATTAACAAATAAACCTTAATAAATTAATTTATAAACCTTTATAAATCAGTTTAAAACTCTTATAATCACATTATAAACCTTTGTAAATCATTTTATGTCTTTATAAACACTTATAAGTTATTTATAAACTCATATAAATCAAATTAAATTTATAAAAATTACAAATAACAGACTCAAAATAAATAGAGAATTTCCAACCATCACTAGAGGAGACCAGAAACTAGTACAGGCCATCACCATCTGATTAATTCTTGCATTGTAAATGTTTGAGGTGAGAATACATCTTAAGCTCTTCCTGATCATAGGAGTGGCCAAAGAGCTTTCAGCATTGGTGGTTGTTGCTGTTGTAGAAGAAGAAGAAGAAACATGGCCAGCTGGTTGCTCATTTGATTTCACAGTTGTTGCTAACTTAATTCCCACTGTTAAAATCAACTAATGAATTTTATAAACCGTTTATAAAGGTTTACAAACTATTTGTAAGAGTCTATAAACATTTGTAAAAGCTTATAAAACAATTTTGTAAAGTATATAAACTATTTATAAATCTTTATTCAAAAAATATAAAAGTTTATCTATCAGAGCTAATAAATCTATTTACAATTGGTTATCAAAAACAGTTTATAAGGATTTATAAATATACTAGATCGGTTTCCGCGCTACGCGCGGATAATTAATTTTAAAAATTTTAAAATTTTCATTCTTTAGCATATGACATATTGTATAAGAGTGAAGACATGAACTGATTTTGGTTGTTTAAATGTTGCTTATAACTTTATTTTGGCCTTTTCTAAACTATAATAAGATTGTGTATTATAAGTTTGCCAAAATACCAATAAGTTCACAATATATAGATAGAAATGTCAAAATTGTGATTTTAGTTGAGTTTCCTTAAAGATCATCTTCTGAGTTATATTGGTGTTTTTTTTCTCGAATTCATGCATTAGATTTGTCTCTTATTTTGTTTCTAAAGTTTTTGATAATTTTTTATTATATTATCAAAGTAACTGAATGGTTGATGATAAGAATCAACATTAGCTTCTCTTTGAATAAGAGGTATTAATTGTAATGTATTAATGCCCCCACCTAACTAATTATGAAATGAATGGTAGTTTGTGACAAAGGAAAAATTGTAGGTTTACCAAAAAAAGGAAAAAGAAGAAAACTTGTAATGTATTATATTTTAATTTGTTTGTTGTTATGTTTTTTGTATATTACGGATAATTATCTCATCATGACAACTTTATATTTTCAATTATTTATGCTTTGCAACTTCCAGGACATAGATCTTTGGTTGTTTCATATTCAAAGTTTACAATCATTGATCTATAATATCCCCTATATATTATTTGAGAATCATTTAAAAAGTTGTAACCTTAAGTTTGTAAGAATTAAAAATAACCCCAATCCTACGTGGCATAGCTATTTGGCTTCTATTTCAAATTCTAAGGATTCTAGAGCATGTGATATAATGTATAGTTTAAAAATTATATTCTCTAGCAATATAACATTTCGTAGGCTATAGTTGGTCGCATATATCAAATATTTATTGTCTCGCATGCTTTCCTTAAATAAAACCTACGGAATTACCTAATGTGATTAAAATATATATATGGCAATTAATGATTTTAAACAATAAAGATTTGATGACAATCAGTATACTTTTTTTCAATTTTGTTTATTATTTATTATTAAAATAAATTACACAATTACATTAATCATATAATAAAAATCTAGATTTTTTTTTGTGTATGTTGTATTTCAAATTTTTCAAAATGAGTATAAATTACTAAAACTGTTAAAAGTCCCACATAAACTTTTAAGTTCAAGGTTTTATTTTTTTTCTATACTAAAATATAATGATTATAAGAACATATATAGAAATAATTTTAGTTTATATATATTTCATATCATTTTAATTAAACTATACATCATATGAAATACATACTTATATTTTGATATTTGCCTTGAACAGATATTGAAAAGTTAATATTTTAATTTTGAAATATGTCATTGTTTTTTTTAAATGATTATAAATTACTGAAACTACTAAACATCTCACATTAAAAAAAATTCGTTGGTGTAAAGTTTTGTTACACAAATATACAGATAATCATAAAATCATATGAGTAGAAACCTCATTTAATAAATATCCATATTAAAAGTGTGCTATATTACTATGTTTATATCATTTAAATTTAATTATATATCATATACAATATATAAGATTGATTATTGTGATTTATTTACCCTAATTGTGAATAAACAAGAGTAATAGTTAAATTTATATGCATACGACAATTTATTACATAATAGTAACTGATTTCTTAGTTATTTAATATATATATTTATTATTTTATTATTTATAATATGCAGAAAAATATAAAATAAATAATAAATATAAAATACTTATTGTGCATAAAGTGCAAATCTTTACCTAAGTATGTATCTGTTTAATTATTTTAAATCTTAAATATTTTCTAAATTTCAGGTCAAAACAAAATATTTACATTGAGTAATAACCAAAATATAAAAAAAAACATAGCAAGAGAAAAATGGAAGATAAATATGATTGACACGTGAACGTAAAATTCTCATAGCCATAATTAATTTTTAAATTGTTAAATCATGAGATAAAACTGAGTTAATTTTTAATTTGTTAACTTTTTTTTTTTATATATCTTTATGGTTATGTTAAATCATGACCATAATTAATTTTAAATTGTTTATTTTTTTGAAATACTTAAAATATTGTTTTTAAAAATAATTTAAAATTTAAAATAGTTTTTTTAGAAAATTATTTTTTAAAAATAATAATTTGTAAAAATATAATTTTCTAATATTATTAGACAAATAAATAAATTATATTAAATTAGTTTAGAAACTTTATATATTTTAAATGTAAATATTTTACCAATTATTTCTTAAATAACATTCGGGAACTTGCTAATACTCTACCAATCAAGCCCAGTGACACTCCATTTATTTTCCATCACTCGAACACTGAAAAGTAAAAAGATATATGAAATCATATCCATTAAATTCTAAGATTTGATCTACATTTCTAATTAAAATTGTTTATGATCGTACGTATAGATAATTATATAAAAATTCCAAAATTCTAAAATTTCAAATACATACAAAAACAATCATATGTAAATTTTAAATTTGTCAATACTAAAAAATTATATTTTAATTACATATATTCACCCTGCGCAAGGCGCAGGTCTTATCCTAGTAATTTTGTATAAGATAGAACATATGTTTGAAATATAAATTATGTATTTCATATGGTCATGTTTTAAAACAACTTACTATGAATTTTGTGGTAGTTTCTGGAGTGTGGCGTTTAATTTCTTACATCATGTGTATTTCTCAAAATATATTTCATTTAGCTTGCGTGATTAGTTGACCATTTTAAATTTATTTTGTTTGGGAAAGTTGGCGATATTGTTACTTGGAAGGTAAACACATGTGAATTTAAATGTTAAATACAAAAGAAATATTGATACATATGAATTAGAAAGATTTGATTTTAAATTAATAATTCTAATAAACATTTAGTCGTCAGATAACTGTAATACCTCTGATACCAATATATATATTATATTTAGTAATTAATTTATTAATATTCTTAGCTTGATATTTATATGCTAACTGAATTCAAACAAAATGTTCAATAAATACTAACTGATCATCTTTGTAAGAAAACAAATTATTAAAAAAAAAAATATTTTAGAATTCTTTTTTTACAATTAAAAATTATGTATTCGGCAACTAGACTAATAAACGTTTAAATGTGTAATGAAAATCCAACAGTTTCAAATGCTATGGGCAACTTTATTTATTATTTACATTTTTAATTTTAGATAATCTTTGTTATCTAGGCTTTTTTAATTTTAGTTTCTTTTTGTATTGGTTTTCAAATCACATATATAAAAGGCAATATCTGTAAAATATAAAAAAGTTTTCATATTATATATACTAATATATTTTTACTTTTTTGATAATCTTTTTTTTTTTACTGAACTTCATAATCTTTGTTATTTTGAGTTTTAATTTTAGTTTCTTTTTTAGATTGATTTTCAAAATAAAATTATAAATATATAAAAGGAAATATTTATAAAAAAATAAAAATGTGGTCATAAAAGGAAATTTCATAAATAATAAGATTCATAATTATATATATATTTTTTTTTTATCAAATAATGATAAAATATAAAAATGTTTCAAATCACATATATAAAAGGCAATATCTGTAAAATATAAAAACGTTTTCATATTATTTATACTATTATTTTTTTTTTAATTTTTTGATAATCTTTGTGTTTTTTACTGAACTTTATAATCTTTGTTATTTTGAGTTTTAATTTTAGTTTCTTTTTTAGATTTATTTTCAAAATAACATTATAAATATATAAAAGGCAATAATTATAAAAAATAAAATAAAAATGTGGTCATAAAAGGAAATTTCATAAATAATAAGATTCATATTTAAATATATATATATATATATATATATATATATATATATATATATATATATATATATTTTATCAAATAATGATTTTTGTCAGAGACAGAAGCCCAAAATGTGGAAAGCAAGCCTCTCCAGACTTGATGTTGAAGATAGTAGTCTAATTGATAATGACTCCGAGCTTAACCGTTGTTCCTTTCTTGAGTTACTTTATTTGGCTCAGACATCTTTCAGACTGTTATCTTTCATAAATTTGTTTCGCAAGACATTTATAATAGTGTTCCCATTCGTGGATTCTAGAAACGGTATTGACTTCTGTAACGGGAAAGATAAACCCTATTTAGGGATTCACCGAGAATCCTAAGAATCCTAAAATCTTTATTTGAACCTGCAAACGTACATACGATTTGCCCGATCACATTCTTCCCGATACACTAAAGTAAACTGTGCAGCTAAAACAAACAGAGAAATACATGATTAATTATGTGTTTAACATTATATTAGACCTAGTAAGTGGCTGGGACAGAAGTACATACCAAGTTAGATATTCTTAGTTGAGGGAGACTTCCACATTATCTGTCTGTCTGTCATCTGCTGAGTTCTTGTCTCTCTCTATCTAATCCACTGATGTCGCGTCCTCTTTGTCTCCTGCTTCTGGTTTGAAACCATTCAAATTCTTTGAACTCTTATCGTTACAATTTTTTTTTCTTCTTCTTCTTCTCTTCCTCTCTGATAATTCTGGACTTACTTCACATGAGTAGTTACCTGGGAGATGGGTATTTTAAAATATTTAAGAACACTTGAGATGGACTCTGGAAAGTCAAAGAGGAAGAATCGAGCAATTATTCTTCAATTAAGAGCAAAATATAATCTACACCAAATCCCACAATCCCTAAGATTATTATTCACACTAAATTTGCGACACAAAGCTTTGCTATTATGTGTGGTAAAAGCGAATTTGTGCTTAAGTTCATAATTTTGAGAACTTTCATATCTGGTAAAAGAACCATGCTCTCACCTACGCCACGGCAGTGGTAACGGATCAGATATGGATACAGCCACAGGTAAACTGTCGTCCATATATGTCATTAGATAGAAGGACAACATGCCAATGAAAAGGAGTAGTAGGGCATGCTGTAGCTATATATGAAACCCTGCAAGAAAGAACAAAAAATCACGTCCGTTGAAAAATTTCGTCACACATCTGGACATATATATGAAAAGTCAAAGCACACAAACTTCTTCTCAAGAGGATCTTACCGAAGATAGTAGAGAAGAGGAAGGCAAGCCAATTTATATAGTATCCATGAGAACTCTTGTCCCTGGTGAATTAGTAAGGAAGTAGGCCTGTATAGATATACAAACATAGGAATGCTCAATGAGTCTGTAATGCTTTCAACAGGTAAAGATGTGGTTGCTCTACTATGCTCAACAGGAAGCACAAAGAAAAACAAAGATCAACTTCAGAGAAACAGTATCAAGAAGACACAGTATACCGTAAAACATAGAAAAGAAAACAATATAAAAGGTATATGCCGCTGCACTCAGACATGCTTCTAAACATATTAGTAAGTAGGGTTGATCAGACCATCAACTCGAACACTGACCAAGAGGGTATATCTTTGGATCTATTAATTAAAACCACTAAAACATGAATTTGTGTTAATAAAAGACATATAAAAAGCCACGCAGGTGGAAAGAATATACTCTACGGTAAAAGTTTTTAAATCATTGAAATGATTGAGAGTCTCCCTCAAGTGGACCAAGACACATATTTCATTTGACTTGTGTCTTACGCAAAAAAAAAAAAAAAAATCAAAGAGTCCATCATTTACAGATACATATTTAGTTAAAAAAATTAACGTTGAATACATTTCTTAACTGGAGCAAACGTGGAACACTTTATTGATATTAACGGTTATTGTTTTCTAACAGAACAATTGGATATTACATCATCAAGCAACAGGTTTGAGAACATACAACTTGCAAGCATGAGAATCAACAGTTGCTGTCAAGTTCACTACAAACTTTTGCTTCAATGTCTGGTACTGTTCTCATATCACAACAAAACGTATTCATAAGAAGTCGAAACATTTGATTTTTTTAATGGTATTTCGTTTTATGCTAGTATGTATGTGTATTACCTTCCATAGATCTCTGGCTTCAACGATGCTGTTTGCATGGATGTCAATATCATCCCAAAAAGCAGTAATGGGAGATCGTGTTCGTCCACGGTTCAATAAAAGCAAAACTACTCTGTAACCTGACAATGGTCTTGCCCAAACCTGGATATCACCTTCCATTCTAGCTTTCTTGACCTGAACACCATGTGGATCTACATTTGTCTGTCATACATATACTCAAACATGGTTATTTTAGGAATCTGATGGCTGAAACAGTAATTAAGTACCTTGGTTTATAGCAATGACCTCCTTGGTTGCCACAATCTCCATTGTCTCTTTGGTAATGTTTCTTATGTCACAACCAAGTAGAAGAGGAGCCTGTGAATGATATACATATACATCAGACAGACGTAATATACTTTTCTTATAAGATGGTCTCCCCGTTTTAGGTAGATTTATTTAATAAAGTAGCTTTGCTAAGTTAATTCAAGGTTTATTAAAACATGTAATCATGATCTTACTCATACTTAGTGATTCGATTGGGGACACTGGTGAAACGGATCCTAGGGAAAGTTGTGTTCTTGAGTATCTCACTAACATCAGAGTTTCTACGACGTTCATCTCCTTCTCTCTCGCCTGAAAATGACTGAAAATGAAGCAGAAGCTCGTCTTGTAGAGCTGCAAATTCACAGCTATGCATTCCTATGATGGTGAAAAAGAGAATATCAGAAACAGAGGTTTTTTTAGGGTTGAAGTATTTGATTTGTAAAAGTATCCGTACCTTGACTCAGGACTGAGAGAGGGGGAGAGAGTCATGTCAAATAGTGTTAGAAACCTGCAAATTAATGGAAAAATAATGTAAGAAAAATGTTCTAAAAACCATAACTTTTAAAAAGAAACTCATAACCATATGTTCCAAAAACCTGATTGTGATAACCTTTACGGGAGGCAATAGGATGTAGCGATGAATCTATATTTCGCCTCTTTCACTTCTCCATCTTGGAAAGAACTGCAATGCCTTTGGACGATGGAGATTATTGAGGCCGATCAGTTTCCGATCAGTTTATTGTTGACCGGTTTGTAAGAACATGAACTCTCTTCACTTACAACAGGTTCAGTCTGATTTCAGTTGAGAAATCAAATAGCCAAAGAAGAATAAAGAAGAACTGAAGAAATCGATTACTCAAACCAAAAGAAAAGAGAGTTGTCGGGGATTCCTAAACTAAACCAAAAGTATTGATCCAACCAAAGTTTTATTATCGCGGACTCCCTTTCCGTGAGGCCTCGTGACAATGGCGGAGGAAGCAGAAGACGTCAAGTCTGGTGTAGCAATGGCGGAGGAGGAGACAATCTTCTTACTGGTCTTATCACCGGTGGGGATTGAAGAGTTGACGCCGGGTTCCATCGAAACAAATATGTGAGAGAGAGTAGAGATAGAGTGGAGTTTCGTTTCAGTTTAAGCGATACATAATCCTGGAGTGAAGATGTATTAATAGGAAAATCAGAAGATAGATGAAGGGATTCCATTGAATGAGTGATGGTAAAGATTGATGAGTACAGGGAGTGGAGCAATAAAGCTGAAAACAGAAGAGATTAAAGTCTCAAAACGGAAAAGAAGCAAGAGGGACTGAGAAACTCGAAAGGTTGGAGGGGGACGATGGAGATTTAGGTCTGAGATGAAAGGAGGCGGAGAATTAGGGTTCTCGGATTAACAGAGAACGAAACTCAACTCAACCCAAACCCACGACACGCAAGAGGAAAATTAAGGTTATTAACGGGCTGAAATTTTAAAAAACGGATTAAGTCCAAACCGACGAAATTAGGCCCAAACGCAAGAGGAGAGGCTGACGTGGACTAAGACACATTCTGATTGGCCAAATATTTATGCATACGTGGCTATTGTGAGAAGACAAGAATAGGGCCTTTTAATAGAGTAAAGATTATTAAAGTATAATTCATTTACAAGAGTTTATAAAACCAGTCTATAAGGATTATAAATAATTTATAAATGTTTATAAATCATTTATGACGATTTAGAAATCATTTATAAACCTTTATCAATAGTTTATATATATTCATATAAATGATTTATAAACCTTTATAGAATAACTTATAAATGATTATAAGAGTTTACAAAGAGTGATGAATCTTTAATAAAAAATTTACAACGAAAATTTATAAGAGTTTATAAGAGTGATTAATCTTTAATAAATGATTTACAAAGGTTTATGGACTATTTTCAGAATTGTATAAACCTTTTTATAAATCATTTAAGAATTAACTTAATTGTTTTTAAGGGTTAATAAAATCATTTATATGGATTAAAAAGCATATTAAAACATTACTGATCATAACTCTCATTTATTTATAAGAGTTCATAAATCAATTCATATGAGTTTATACAAAAATTTATAAGTGTTTATAAATCAATTTATAAGAGTTTATAAATCAGTTTGTAAGAATAACATTCAATTTTCAGGAGAGATTCTCCATTGTATTATTAGAGTTATATAGGTTTAGAAATACCCTAAAAGAGTTTGTAACCATTTAAAAAGACTTAAAAACAATTTATAATGGTTTGTATAATACTTTGTAAGGGCTTATAAGGGTATGTAAATAACTTATAAGAGTTTATAAAGTTTATACACCATTATAAAAGATTATAAAACCAATTTATAAGGGTAAGTGCAACAAAACAAAGCTGCTGTTCAAATTAACTTGTATATTCTCTTCTGAGTGATACCTTTCCGTTGTTCTGTTTCTAAAACTTGACTCTTGTTTTCATACCTCAATCTCTTGATAAAGACTCATTGACTTCGATTAAATCCTTTGAGGCTGATCTTGTTTTTGTTAGGAAATTCACCACACATAACAACTGGCTCCTCTCAACTTTTCCTAAACGAGACTTGAAACGGTTGAATGATTCTGATCCAATAATTTTACTAAGCTATGCGTCTCTGCAGTTCCTAGTGTAGATGATATTACTATTCCTCCATGAGGTACAGAAGCTTATAAATTCTGATCCAATAGCAAACTCTTCACTAGAAATCCTCATGGCCATATTGCTCTTTTCAATGTCGCTTTGGAATTATTTCGTCTCTAATCAAGGCTGATGAAGACTTTTATTTTTCTTGTGCAAATTCAGCCCTGCAATCCTTTCTGTGTGCTTCTCTTCCAACCGATTAAACAAGAACAGACCCAGCAGTGATGCTCAATTAATTTGGTTACAGGAATAACTTCTTGTCCATCCTTTTCGTAGCTCATGTTCAATAACCATACTGAACAACCATAATTTCAAATCCTCAACCTCTGTAACTCTAGAGTTACCAGAACCATCAACGATGCAAAGATGAACCAATATATTCCTGGAACTAAAGATATCTTCAAACAACCATAATATCTCTAAATAAATCTCTTGCTACTATAGCCAAGTCTTTTGATAATACGAATCTGCATCTCACGTTCGCCTTTAAAATGATCCTGCTATCACAGTCAACATTTTGCTTCATTCTTGGGTCACGTGGAAGAATCCTTTGTACATCATGAATAGAGACGTCTGAGTCAGATGTTCTGAAACTCCATCATTCAAATATGATCTCAGACTCCAAATTCAGTTTCCTTCACTTTTTAGAGTTCTCCACAATTAATTACCAAATCTGAAAACTCAGATGAACTATTCCCAGAGAAGGCTGAGGAAGCTCAAGTAAAACATAAACCAACCGTTAAGATCTCAATCCCACCGTTGATTTTCAAGACAGCAAAATCATAAAGATTTTCACCAAATTTCAGCTCCATCGGACTCCATTTAGATGTTTAAACGTTGCCTTGAATAACCCATCTTGGAACTGACTTTCTGCAATAATCATTGTGATCTTCTTTAAGAGGATTTCTTGTGACATCACAACTGTTCTAAAGCTTTGTTTCCCCTGTCTGTCTCAGATTTTTCTGCAGCCAGCAACACGAACATATGTCATCTTCTTGACTTGTAGACCAGAACCAAATGTAGGCAGATCTCACAAAACCATTATCTTTCGAGAGCTCTTCACTCCATCTTCTTGTTAGCCTAAAATGCTCACTGAACTGTAAATCAGCTTTTCTTTCTCAGTTTCACAATACCATTGATCCTCTAATCATTTCTGAGATAGTTATCGCTCAGGTAGTAGACATCTCTTCTGATGTCACAAAGGATCACACAACTCAGAACACTGATGCGACTCACTGGCTTGCTACGACATTCACATTAATTTTAGAGGCTAGTGCTTTCTCCACTGGATAACTTCAGTGCTGTGCCAACATTAACAGCTGCCGCAGCTGTCATCAATCTGGGTCAATTTACTGATGTCGTCTCCATCTAACTGTATCCCTGTAAACTTTCAACTGGACCTTTCTTCTATTCGATCCCATGAGATAATGGTCCAACAAAGAACATATTTTATCTTCTTTTCTCAGGTCTCATTTCTCTGTTCCTCCTATAAGCTTTCAAGTTACTCGGTTTCTTTTACATCTTGGTAGTACTCTGACTACCAACAAAAATAACGCTCACAACCAGCTATTCTTTCTCATTAGACCTGATAAACCCAATTTTTATTTTTCAGAGATATCACGGTGCAGAACCTTGTAACACACCTTTAGCAATAAGTTATTGTGTTCCGTCTTGATCTTTCATGGTAGAAACATTTTGCAGTCACAGCGGAAACAAAGCACACCGTCTTCAATAGTTAAACCTGGAGAGAACCGATTGTAAGTAATCCTCAATAATGAGATGACCCAACATCTACAAGTCACTTAAGCTAACGCTGTTACGCTTACTCAGAGTATCTCAACTCTAGATCTCATATTGATCCCAACCAACTTCTCAACTAGAGTAAATTATCATGTAGGATCCTCCTTCCCAATGTCTTTTGCTTCTTGATTTAGCTTGAAGATGAATAAATATTTTCATCGTACAACAAATGTATCTTGCGACATTCAGATCAGCGCCTGCTGCATAACACTTCATTTTTTTCAGAAAAAAAATATTCTTCATCTTGTAGCTTTGATTGTTGAACCAAACATAAGCTCTCATTGGAACTCACACGACTTACAGAAAACAATAAAGTGAGACTCCTCTCTTTATCAGCAAATTGAAACAGAGCTTCCAAACTCAAGCTAAAGAAATTTTAATCACAACCTCAACCCGGATCTTTTCTCTTTTTCCTCTTGATAAACACAGCGGCTTCAATCCCTTTTGTTATTGACCTTAGAAGCAAATCTCATGAAACAAACCAAAGTCGTAAGCTCACGGAGTTTGATTTGAGTCCCAAATTCTCACCATACCCATCTTATGCCAAAACATATGAATAATAAAGACAGATTCTTCATCATCTCTGACGATGTCATTTTCTCAAACCAGGTAGATATAACCTTTAAAACCTCAGAATTAAGACTTATCAATCTCTCTGATCTCTTCATCTGCTTGCTGCAACTCACATATTACTTCACATAAGCTATTTCTCAGTAAACTTGGTATCGATCCTAGTCAATCGTAACTTCAAGAGATCAGATTCTATCAGTCTAATTGAACTAAATGTAAAGAAGAGGAAAACTGCATATGAAGCATAATCTCATAGGTTGTGATAAACCAAGCTACAATTACAGAAAGAGACGAAAATCACCATCTATTATCCTCTTACCTTTGTTAGCATTTCTTAGGTATCACGA